TCATCATTGTAGTTTAACCACTTTGGTATGTCAGCGCAAACTACTCGATATAAAGAAGAGTCTTCTGATAACTCGTATTCCCTAACCACTCAGTAATCTTCTCCAACAATGCAACTTTCTCAGTGGTAGGACAGTACGTGCAAAATTAATATTCTGTTTTGCTTATTACCATACCATACCGTTTGATCCCATCACTATAGATTTGGTAAATTCGAAATTTTACTTTTTATCAATAAAGTGGTTTTACATTGTGGCTTTAGGACATTCTAAACTGCCAAATTTTGCGCTTGGACGAAAATACCGCTCAAATAATGAAATTTAATTAACGATGATATATCGATGATCGTCGATAACTGATAACTTGTGTAAAAGGATTATAATAAAGGAATTATTTCCATTCTCATCTATCGATTAAATCCTTTTTCGAAACAAAGTGAATCACATTTTCAAGCGAATTATTTATAATTTCAAATAACTATGAATTAGCATAACATCGAATCCTTCCGAATTTCGGCACGAGCCAATTCCTAACCTTTATTAGATTACATTCCTTTTATTTATATTTATTTCATATTTGTATTTATTCCACTTTTTTTATTTATTCATTTCTAATCCATCGAATATATTAAATGAAAATAAACTATATAAAAGAATGTTTAGATGGAATTAATTAATTTTTCACAGCTTGACAGCAATTCCCATTCATCTGTAAATAAAATGCTAAATGTGATAAAAATTAAATGATTTGATCGAAACATATAGCATGATTGCAAATAATTGAAAGTATTGATTTTCTTTTTTCAGTAATTTTTTGTTCGATAAAAAAGTATGCAAATTTATATTTTATTTTATTTTATTTCTTTTTTTTGCAGGCAAATACAAAATCTCATCAAATTTCAATAGCTATATAAAAAGTTTTAATCGCAGTAAATTTTAAAGTATAAAAACGGAAAAGTCCGACTGATAACAAATATGGGCGTATAATTCATGATTCAAGAAATATTGATGTGATCATCAGCCTAGAGAAATCTCAAAAACAACAAGATAATGATTGGCTGTTTCTCCTTTTTTTTTTTTTTAAATTTTGAAATGACAAGCAAATACTATGCAACATATGGGTGAGTATACATCCATTCATTTAATCGTTCATTCATTTCACTGTTTTCTGATATGTTCTAAAATGTTTGGCTTTACCCTGTATGGTCGCATTACAATTGACATGTGAACACTTATACTTCTTCATATTTGAAAAACAACTGCTGTGACATTTATTTTTACAATTAGTTTTTCCATCACTGCATTTGGTAATTAATTGAATCAATTTAAAAACTGATGATGAAAATATCAATACCATGAAATAAACTTATCACATCGAATTTTCATCAAGTTTGATCACGAAACTCTGTTCGCTCGTTTTTGTGCATATTTCAAATGGAAATATTACTGGTAATGTTACCTATAATCGCGGAATAGCTGATTACCATAAGACAAAATCAGTTTCGCTTTTCAATTTTTTATTCTTATTGCCTAATAGTACCCAATGGAATTCACCTGGAATATTCTGAACTGAAGAACAAGGCGAAGTACAGAATTTTTGAAATATCGGAAATGGTCGAATAAAAGCTTTTTATTTCACATTGGTTGGAATTAAACGACTAAAGGTTCAAACAGTTTTTAATTCATGCCATTCACATTAATTTTCATATTAATTGTCACTGGTTAAATTCGTAGTTTTGACGACACAGATACCATACGGATTAAATATTCCTTTAACCAATGACATTTAATACCAATAATCCGCCAGTTTCAATTCATGCAAATTTTGTCATTCTCTGTGTCGTCGAAATTTTCAACCTTTCACTATTTCTAGTAGCCTTCACTACTTCTAGCAGTCCAAAAGCGTATTCATCGACTGCTGGTTCAGAGATCGAAAATAAGAATGCGAGAGAGAGGAATATAAGAAATAATGCGAAACGTATGAATTGAAAGCTGTCTGAACCTTTTGGTCGTTTAATTCCAACCAATCTGAAATAAAAAGCTTCCATTCGAGCTTTTTGCCATTTTAACAATTCGGTACATCGCCTT